TAGCAACTTCGATTCGAGAGGCTATACTTGTGGTTCAAAAATAACACATGTAGTTGTAAATTGAAAGATAATATTCACATACACAAACATTTAAATAACAAACTCGGGTTCGCACGTAAAATAACTTGAATTGGCACTTATTGAATGACCAACTCCCTTGTTTGTGTAAGAATTAGAATTCTAATAGCAGTTTTATTCTTCGGACGATACAACAGTCACTCCAAGGTTGGTAGGGCAAAAGAATTTGAAAAAAAAAATTTAAATAAATTTTATTTGAAAAAGAAAAGAATTAAAAAGAAATTTAAATAAATTGATAAAAAAACCAATTATTTATAAAGTAAATTTTTTAATTTTAATTAAATAATATTTATATATTCTTCATTTAATTTTCATAACTTTATTTTATTTTTTACTTCTAAATAATTTTAAACGAATTTTTTTACTTATATAAGTAATTTTTACATATATAGAAATATTTTTTGTTAATATGTTTATTTTTAAATTTTTTTTTACTAAAAGTGATTTTTGAAAAATTAAGTGTTATTTGGAAGAGAAAAGAATTAAAAAGAAAAAAATAATTGATTTTTTTTTAACAAGAAAACGCATTTGTTAACACATACGTTTAATTTCCGTTTAACTATTTTCGATATTTATTTAGATCATTCGATATCTCTATGATATAGTTCTCAAAATGAGTTTCGAGAGAATATAAAATATTTATCAATTCGACTACCGTGCAATCGTTAATTAATTTTTAAAGTTAGCTTGTTATCGAAAATTTCAAAATAGTAATAAAATAATTGATTTTTTTTAAGAAAAACGACTTATGCATATTTTTTAACACATACGTTTAATGTCCGTTTCACTATTTTTGATATCTATTTAGATCATTCGATATCTCTACGATATAATTCTCAAAATGAGTTTCGAGAAAATGTAAAACATTTATCGATTCGACTATAGTACAATCGTCGATGAATTTTTTAAGTTAGCTTGTTATCGAAAATTTCGAAATATAGTTTGAAAATGCCTACTTTGACGTCCCATAACATTTGCTATGATTGACCGTTTCACGCACCGTTAACGACGTGCATGCCGCGAGTACTTCAAAACGATATTAAGAATGTAATATTTCGACTTCGTTTGATATCCCGTAATGAGCCTGAAAATGAACACAAAAATATAAGTAAAAAATAAAATAAAATTTCTCTTTGTGTGGTCTCCATGCACGGACACAAAGTCCTCTTTTTTTTCTTCTTTTTAAAATAAAAGCTAATACCTCTTTATACTATATAAACTAACTAAAATGATATATATATATATATATATTATTTTTTTTTAATTTTTATATTTTTTAATTTTTTACAACCTGAAGCAAACTTTTTATTATGTAAAGAAATATACTTAAAACTTTGAGTTAATATTTAATTTTGTGGTAATAAAATATATAAAAAAAATTTACTTTAAAATATTTTATTATACTGTAAGAAACTACTGCAACACGTAATTTCCATACCTCCCACCACTCCATGCTCAACCACTCTTATATAGATATATATACTAGGGATATAAGAAAAAAAATTACTCTTATATAAAAAAAAATAAAAAAATATTTTACAAAAAATTACTTTTAAGTAAAAAATTGAAGAAAAAAGAATTAAAAAGAATTTTAATTTTTGTTGTTCACATTATAATTTTTTTTTCAATTTATAATTCTTTTCTCTTAATAATTCCAAACAGAAACTTAGATTTGAGAAAAAAAATTCTGTGCAGTTTTACGTTATAAATAATAGTTTTTTCAATTTAGAATTCTTTTCAAATTTTTTCTTCAAATTTTTTGTTATTAATCAGTATTTTTTAATAGTTTGAGATAAAATTTAATTTTCTAGTAATAATTCAATATATAAAATGATTAAAAAAATATTCACTCCAAAAAAAAATTTCCGTTATACCACATAATTTTTTTGAGCAAAATGATGCATTGAGAAAATTGTTGCAAAAAAAGAATAAATAGTAATAAAATAATTAATTTTTTTAAGAAAAAAATGATGTATAAGCATTTTTAACACATACGTTTAATTTCCGTTTAACTATTTTCGATATTTATTTAGATCATCTGATATCTTTACGATATAGTTCTCAAAATGAGTTTAGAGAGTGTAAAACAATTATCAATTCGACTATCGTACAATCGTCGACGAATTTTTAAAGTTAGCTTGTTATCGAAAATTTCGAAATAGTAATAAAATAATTGATTTTTTTAAGAAAAAACGACTTATGCGTATTTTTTAACACATACATTTAATGTCTGTTTAACTATTTTCGATATCTATTTAGATCATTCGATATCTCTATGATATAGTTCTCAAAATGAGTTTTGAGAGAATGTAAAACATTTATCGATTCGACTATCGTACAATCGTCGATGAATTTTTGAAGTTGGCTTGTTATCGAAAATTTCGAAATATAGTTTGAAAATGCCTACTTTGACGTCCCATAACGTTTGCTACGATTGACCGTTTCACGCACCGTTAACGACGTGCAATACCATGCCGCGAGTACTTCAAAACGACATTAAGAATGTAATATTTCGATTTCGTTTGATATCCCGCAATGAGCCTGAGAATGAACACAAAAACATAAGTAAAAAATAATAAAAATAAAATAAAATAAAATTTCATTTCTCTCTGTGTGGTCTCGGTGCACGGAGACCTTGGTCTCCTCCGTGCACGGAGACTTCATGTCTCCGTGCATGGAGTCCTCTTTTTTTTTTCTTTTTTAAATAAAGAAATATACTTAAAATTTTGAGTTAATATTTAATTTTATAGTAATAAAATATAAAAAAATTTAATTTAAAATATTTTAATATACTGTAAGAAACTGTTACAACACGTAATTTTCATACCTCCACCACTCTATGCTCAACCACTCTTATATAGATATATATAGTAGGGATATAAGAAAAAAAATTACTTTTATATAAAAAAAGAAAAAAATATTTTACAAAAAGTTACTTTTAAGTAAAAAATTTGAAGAAAAAAATTAAAAAGAGTTTTAATTTTTGTTGTTCACATTATAATTTTTTTTTCAATTTATAATTCTTTTCTCTTAATAATTCCAAAAAGAAACTTAGATTTGAAATTTTTTTCTGTGTAGTTTTACTTTATAAATGATAGTTTTTTCAATTTAGAATTTTTTTTAAAAATTTTTTCTTCAATTTTTTTTTATTAATCAGTATTTTTTAATAGTTTGAGATAAAATTTAATTTTCTAGTAATAATTCAATATATAAAATGATGAAAAAAAATTCACTCCGTGCATGGAGAAAAATTTTTCGTCATACCACATAATTTTTGTGAGCAAAATGATGCACTGAGAAAATTGTTGCAAAAAAAGAATAAATAGTAATAAAATAATTAATTTTTTAAAGAAAAATGACGTATATGCATTTTTAACACATATGTTTAATCTCCGTTTAACTATTTTCGATATTTATTTAGATCATCTGATATCTCTACGATATAGTTCTCAAAATGAGTTTCGAGAGAATGTAAAACATTTATCAATTCGACTATCGTACAATCGTCGAAGAATTTTTAAAGTTAGCTTGTTATCGAAAATTTTGAAATAGTAATAAAATAATTGATTTTTTTAAGAAAAATGACTTATGCGTATTTTTTAACATATACGTTTAATGTCTGTTTCACTATTTTCGATATCTATTTAGATCATTCGATATCTCTACGATATAGTTCTCAAAATGAGTTTCAAGAGAATGTAAAACATTCATCGATTTGACTATCGTACAATCGTCGATGAATTTTTAAAGTTAGCTTGTTATCGAAAATTTCGAAATATAGTTTGAAAGTGCCTACTTTGACGTCCTCTAACATTTGCTACGATTGACCATTTCACGCACCGTTAACGACATGCAATACTATGCCGCGAGTATTTCAAAACGATATTAAGAATGTAATATTTCGATTTCGTTTGATATCCCGTAAGGAGCTTGAAAATGAACACAAAAACATCAGTAAAAAAAAAAAAAACTTATTTCAGATCATGGCTCTCCGTGCACGGAGTCTTCCTAATTTTAATTTTTTTTTCGTTCGTGCACGGAGACACGTGGAGACCAATGTCTCCGTGCACGGAGGCTTTTGCTTCGTGCACGAAGAGATTACTTTTTTTTTTTGCTGTGTAGTTTTATGTTATAATTTTTTTTTCAATTTAAAATTCTATTTAATTCTTTTTTCTTCAAATTTTTTACCTACAAGTAATATGTTGTAAAAAAATTTCTGTCGCATATTATCTCTATCTTTTTTTTTTTTTTATATATACAAAAGTGATTTTTTTCTTATATCCCTACTATATATATCTATATCGGAGTGGTGGAGGAATGGAAATTGCGTGTTGTAGTAAATTTGGAGGTAGTGTATAATAAAATAATATATATATCAAGCAAACGGAGTCGTTTTTGGCCCCCAATTGAAACAAAACAAAACAAAAATGCTACAGTAAAGATGGATCAAGACACTGTTGCTTTCTACGATACCCTCACATTCCCCTTTTTTATATAGTAGGGAAATAAAGGACATTGTAAACTTTTGCAAAGTTTTAGGAAAATTGTAGCAGCGGTTCCTGACATTTTTAATTTTTGCAGACCTTACCCAACATTCAATTTTTGCCAACAAACGTCCCTAATCTTTCAAAAATATGCAGTTGGTGTCCAAAGTGATGGAAATCATCCATTTGACCGTTAGTTAACCAAAAAAACTAATTTTGTCCAAATTTGATAAAGGTAAAATGATAACTCCATAAATTTAACATAAAATAATTAAAAAAGAAAAAAGAAACCCATCCACCTGCTTCGGTCCACCCCCATGAAAAACCTAGAAGCCGGTTCATCTACCTTCCACTTCTTCCCCACTCCCACTCACAGTGGCGGATCCAGGTACTTGCGAGCTAGGGCGTGTGGATGGCGGATCAACTGCCCTAGCTGGGTCCGTCGGAATGTTCATTATTGCAGTCATTAGTAGGCTTGTCCGTCGGTCCACCAGGAAGAAACTCAGAAAGCAGAGCTGCAGAGGCTAAAGAAAGCGAATATGAAGAAGACGATGCTGGGAAATTGGGCCTACTTTCCCCCCTCTCAATTTTGGGCCTCTTTTTAAAAAAATAAGGCCCAAATCCAATGGCCCAATACCTTGAAATTAATGGACGGCTGGAGTGGATATATTTCCATTGCATTCACCAATTTGAAGAGTCCAAACCCCAAAATTGAAACCAATTAACCAAGGGCTGAACGGAACTGCTGAAGGCGAAGGGCGATTGCGAAGATAGTGGACTGGTGCCTGGCAGAGTGGTGCGAGTTGAGTGGATGGTGAGTCGGTGACCGGTGAGCCATGAGCGGCAAGGAGGTGGACGATGGTGTGGTGCGATCGTACGAGTTGAGTGGACGCCGATGGCTACGAGTGCGACTTCTTGCCTTGGTAAGCTATTCTGGCTTTTCTTTTAATTTTTTTCTTTTTGATTTTGATGATTTAATTCGATTGTTATGTTAAATGTGATGATTATGATTTATGAAAATTGAGGAATTTGTAAATTTTGTAAATACGTGAATTGGGAATTTTATGATTTATGAGAGATGTTCAATTTGTGTTGGAAATTAGAAATTGGAAATTGATGATAGCTTAAGTCTTTAAGATTAAGTTTAATTTATTTTTAATTTTCATACAGATTATGTTAACTGGTAAAATTACTGTCGATCTTGATTCTTGAGGTTAATCGACACTTTTGTCTTTATTTTAATTTTTTTGGGCTTTGAGGTGAGGTCCCTGTATGATGAATAAATGAGAATTGTGATTTGTGATAAATAATTTATGTTGTATGAGTTATGAGTTATAATTTATTATCCATGATATTCGATTTGTGATTTAGGAAATTATGAGATCCCGTAGAATGTTGTTGTCTAAGTTTATAGTATTGTACATTTTTTTTTAGTACTTTGGGTTGTATTGAATTATATTTTCATATGAATTGAATTATATTTACTATCGTTGATTGTCAACGGTCACGGGTCAGCGGTCAATCCTTCCACCCAAGCTGAACTACAATATTGGATTCGCCTCTGCCCATCCACATATTTTTTCGGGGTTTTGAGCATAGGTTTGTCTTTGTTACTGTTATCTTATCTCTTTTACACTTCAATATTGCTTATTTTCTGTGTTTCTTGCTTGGAATTTAATATATTTCTTTGGGTTCTTTTTTCTTCGTTTTCATAACAAAAAACTTTGTGGGTTTTCATTACCTATTTTTTGTTTTGCTTCTTGCAAAATTTTGACATTTCTTGGCCTCTATATGCTCGAGGAAACAAAGAGGCTGAGAAACGAGGATAAAGTTGGAGTCTTTTTGTGCAGTATTTTAAAATATTAAATGAGCAAAAACAGTGCTGAACTTAACCCATAGTCCTAGAGTTTTGTTTTCTATTTCTCTCTGTGAAATGTGAGAATTTAGTTAGAGAAAAGATGGGAAAATTTGTGTCTTTATGGCCTTCTTTTCCTTCCAAGTTTTAAGCTACAATGTCGTCACATTTGTTACTATCCGACATCGATTTCCAAGACGAATTAGAATTTGAAGTACCTAACGGTTACCTAGCTATCCCTTTTCCTTTCAATTGTCTCTCTACCTTCATGACCACATGCAACATATCTTCTAACTCCACATAGTGGTGTAATTCCACTACATTAGCAATTTCCCTATTTAACCCATTCAAGAACCATGTCATAGTGGCTTCCCGATCCTCCACCACATTCGCCCTAATCATGATTATCTCCATTTCCTCGTGGTAATCCTCTACGCTCTTCGAGCCTTGATATAAGCTTTACAAATTTTGATGGATCTCCATATAATAGTGACTAGGAACAAATCGTTTTCTCATTAATGTCTTCAACTCATCCCAAGTACTAATTGGTCTTCCCCTACACCTACATTGTGATGTAACCACCCGATCCCACCATGTTATTGCATAGTCAATGAATTCTAGAACCCCAAAGTTCATCTTCTTCACCTCCGAGTAGTTATAACATTCGAAAATCAATTCAACATTTCTTTCCTACTCTAAATACGCCTCTGGGTCACTTCTTCCCTTAAATTATGGAGTGGTCATTTTGATATTACCCTTGTTTCCATCCATCTCATCTCCGTGATTATTCGTACCCTGTCTGTCGAATCTATTACCTCTATTCCTCATCCGTCTCATTTCGTCACCATTAAATTCATCTTCATCCACATCACTACCGTAGTCAGATTCCTCTTGTCTTTCCCTCCTAGGCTCCCATCTACCCAGTCCCCTAGCATTAGATACCTCAACTCGTTGCCCCTACTAAGATTAGTCACCGATGTATTTAATCTTGTCATTCAAGTCTTCTATCTTACCCTACAAGCTTCCTGTTTATCCAACCTATCTCTCACATCCCAAAACGCACTTTTAAACTGCTATATCAATTCATCTAACGCACTGTTATGATTGCCCTGTCGGCTTGAATTGGAATCTTCTCGTTCAGACATCCTAAAATTATAAATTTTATCTGCCTCACCGGTATTCACTCGGAAAATCACACAATATGACTTTTTTCCTCTATTAATCTCATCACTTTACCTTTTACCACTCGATGCTTTTTTCTAAGCGCTTCAAAGAACAAAGTTAACCAATGAATATTAACACATGGAATTTTTAACCGAATGTGAATCAAAGATTATGAAACAAAAGGACTCAAAGATTTTTTTTTAATAAAATTGACCTGACTTTGATTGAATGAAGAAACCAATGTGACTCGACAACAATTTAGAAAAGAAAGATTGTTGGTAGAAAATTGAACAATAAAATAACAGCAATAATAATTTTGTTTGAACAGTACCGTGAACAGTAACTCCTTTTTTTATACTCTTTGAACAATATGTGAACAATAATTGCTTTTTTTGAATAAAAACAACAAATTAAACTACCAGCAAATTAAATAATGTGGTTTTGGATGCTATAATAGCCCAAAACAACTTTGACAAATTTTGACGATAATTTGACGGATTAAAAAACTCGAACAACGAAGAAATGAAGAACACCAGAAAAAGGGAATAACAAAACGCGGAGAAACAAAAAACAAAGACTCAATGAAGAAAAAACAAGGATATAACCTGTTAATTTGGAGCCTGTGCTTTAGTACCAATTGATGTGAACCCCGTAAAAATGTTGACTACGAAACCCACAACTAGATTGTTAGAACCTCAAAAAAAGCTAATTAAAAGGTTTGAGAGTTTTAAGCCAAATCAATGAACCAAAAAACCAAAAAAGATCAAAGCTTAAAAGGCCCCTTGGTTACACGATTAAGACCCGCACTCGGATTGTAGAACACCACAAGATTGTAATTTTTGATAAGTTCCAATTATTCAATGAATAACGATATGAAGAAAGCAAACTACCTCTCTATTAGAAATTCTCAAAATAATGTAAGGTAATGTTTTACAATGAAAATAAACCTATTTATATGTAGAAAATCTAGAAACTAGTTTTGATAGGAAGAAAGTACTAATCCTAGCTCGCTTAAAAATGGAATTACAGATTACAAGAATATTGTCTATAATTAAATTTTAATGAAATAAGGAAAGTTCGCGTAAAAGAAAAATTCTCGCCACCGAAATACACTATGCGGCCACATAAAGTAATTCAATGTGGTCACATAGAAGAAACTTGAATTGCCTCTGAAATCTGTGCAAGGTTTGATGCGATGCATGCTGTGTAGAACTATGTGGTCGCATAGTTCTTCTTCTCAATCTCAACTTCATCCACTCGTATCACGTTGATCCAAATCACTTCGGCTCTCGACATAAACATGAAAGTTTGCCTCGTTTTGCATTCCGAATATCGTCCCATCAATGGTTGATTGAGCAAGTATCCCATCGTTTGTTTCACTCGCTTTGCCCTCGATTGTGTCATCGGTCCGCCTTCAATTATCAACGGCTCTTTCAAACTAACCATCTTTGCGCTTGACTCTGGAATCACATCACCGAATCTATTTTGTTCAGATCCTATTGAATCGATCCTGAAAAAATGCCCAATTCTACGAACTGTCAAGGGCCTCAAATTGAAATGACAAAACATGGCCAAATTCTTAACTTGAATGAATAATGCTGCTCAACCCGAGATTGTATCTTGAGTTTTGAGCCTTGGCCTCCCAATGTGAATCGCGTGAGCCCCACGTGATTGAAGATTAAGGGCCTTGGATTGAAACTCGGGATTTAATCCCGGGTTCTGAAGCACTACTGAACCTAAATTAATCATGACACCTCGCCCTTTGATTGAAACCCAAGATTTAATCACAGGTACTGAAGCACTATTGAACTTGAATTAATCAGATCTTTTATGAGTTGCACAACTTTTCAATCATACATTTCAAAAATGATTATCAAAATTTACTAAAAATCTAATTTTAATCAATCCCGAGTTCTAAAGCACTGCTCAACCTGAATTAATAAGATCTTTTATGAACTGCACAACTTTTCAATATAAATTTCAAAAATGCTATTCAAAATTTTCAAAAAATCTAATTTTAACAACCCACGCCACCCTCCCCCTCTCCGAGGAACTCCCTTGTAACTTTCCAATTTTTCAGTCGTGGACTTCCTACTCTTCCCCTCCGACTCCGACTCCGAAGACGACGACGACGTCTTTATTACCTTCGATCACTCATCCTCCCCCTCCAGCAACCTTCTTTGTCCAACTTCACCGACCCTCTCTTTTTAGTCCATTTCATGTAAAGTGCTCTGTGTTCTGTAAACGACGCCATTTTAACTCCTCTTACACCCGAGAAATTAATTTGAGGGTGGGTGTCGTTTTGATAACCTTTTTGACTTTTTCGTTTGTATAGGTGGTGCAAGGAGGCGAGAGAGTTCGTTTGCAGTGGTGGTGCGGGGGAGTACGTGGCGGCGGCGTTTTGTATAATGGGACAGCACGGTTGACTGATGCTTGTGAGGATGAGAAAGAGGAGGCTATGGCGGTGGGGCGAAGCCATTCCGAAATTCTGATGAGTATGTGGAAAGAGGAAGGTATATTAGTGAAGACGAAAGAGTTTCAAGCGAGGGGGGTTTCTCATTGGTGTCGGAGTGGATGTTCTTGACAGCTCTCAAATGGTGAGCGCTAGTTATCTTTCAAGTTTGTTGATTTCGAACTTCGTTTGCTTGTGTAGTTTTGTAGGAATAGTTACTTCTTGTGCAATTATTTTTTGTTAGTTTGATAGTTGGAAAAAAAGTGATAGATTAGTTTATCAAGTTATAAACTTTATTTTTAACATTTTATTGTAGATGGTTAACCCTGTTGGTCATAGCATCTTCTCTTGTATGCAATTGACAGAAGAGTTGAAACAATCCAATCTGGTTAAATGATAAAGTCTGAAAGTGTTTTTAATTGTCAAGTTGTTTGTGGCTCTAACAACAAGAACCAAGTTGTGGTAATTTTTACCATGCCTGAACAACCAATACTCGACTTCACAACTTGACTAGAACTTATTTACAATCCTATTGCTATAGTAGTTAGAAAACTGAAAAAAATTGTATTAGCAAGAGGTTATTAGGAAAGATATGTTTTGTGAATCTGTGGGAAATGAAGTTCAAACTGGAAGTATTACTTTCATAGCTGTGATTATCATCAAAGTCGACTCTATTCCTGTATATATTATTGCCTACACAGACTTGCTTAACCTGCCATTGTTCAACTACATTACACAAATCACTGAAAAGTGATGATTGCTTCCTTAGTTCCATTCCACCTTTGGTAATGTTCCCTATACCATTTTTCTAAATTATGATTACATCCAATAGAGTCCTTGCCATTCCCTGAGTCAGTCATTAGACAATTGAACAAGGTTCCTTTGCAGTTGTGGATGCTGCATTTATGGAACCCATGATCTGATATTTGATTTATTCTTCCTTGTAGGCATAATTACATGACGGGTGTGGAAAGATTTTTTACCTGAAGAAGATAGCACGCACGACTTGTTCTCTTTACATATCAGACTTCTGTGTGTGTTGGAAACAAATTCATTTGATATGAAGATTAGCCAAAAGGTTCATTACGAATTGCTGCCCTTTTTGTTTTAATTATCCTAAGCATTAGCTATAGTTTGGATCTTTTGATTTATTGATCATGGGTGCTTTTATTCAGAGTTGGTAAAAGTAAATCTTCTATAAAGCAACTAATACTTGACTTCTATTGTGTGAGCATTAGATTTTTGAAATGCTGGATTTCAAACTACAATCTTTGCAAAATTCAGAAGATAGCCCAATAGGGAAGAGAAGTTTCTAAATTTTGAATACATGCACATATAATACAATTAGATATCCAATGATTTCCATTCTGTTAAAGGAAGTAGATATGGCTTGAAGAGTAAAACATGAATGTATATCTTTGGTTGTTCAGGGGCATATAAAAGGTGAAAAGTTGGTAGGGCTGGCCTTGTCCTTTGTTAAATATTATAAAGATAGACTTTGTTAGTGACGGTTGTTGACTTGCTGCTATGTATGTAACTTACACAGATTGCTTGTGGTACCTCCTTTACTGGAAAAAAGCTGTTTACTTCAATTGTTTATGTGCTTGTTAAAAATGTTATATTTGCAACTTCTGCCTTGCATTGATAGTATTATTTTTCTTAGTCATCAAGTCAGGATACAACAGCTCTCTTTTGGTTGAATTCACAATCGACTGAAAAGGTAAATGCAAAATTCAGTGCTCAAGAAGTTGGCAGTGATGTGGTGTAAAGGAAAGCAAAGGAAAAAAAAAATTCATTCAGCCTAATCTTCAGCTTTTACTTTCATTTTGTTGATTTGAGCACTGCTGGATAAGACTACTGTTACAAAAACTCATAAAATTGACTGGTTATTATGGAAAGAAAAACAATGGTTTTACAATTTTTTCAGCAGAATGCCACTTGTTCATATAACGGCTAGGTATAAGCTACCTGGTAGAGTGTCTATAAGGATAAATGGTTGGTATGAGATAATTGTTGGCTTTTTAAGAGTTTATTTTATCAATGATCTGACGCTTTGTTTGCATTCCGAAGAATAATCAGTTTGGAGCTTTCAACACAGCCTACAATATATTTTTTACTGAGTCTCTCTTGGTGAGCTAAGTAATTCATTACTAATGTTTTACCATCGATTCTTTTTCTTGAAGGTTGTGATAGAGCCCCAATCAATTACACCTATTCTAGAAGGTTCAAGAAGGCTGTGGGAAGTAACAAATTATGTTGACTAAAGATGACATGGCTAGAGTTAGTTACAAATAGGGTTTATAAATAGAATAGAGGAATGGAGTCGGGGGATAGGAAAAAAAGATTGTGAGTGAAGTTATATTAGGAGAGTAAGGCCCTCTCGAGTGGCCACTGTTCGTTTCTATTTTTGAGTTTTAATACCCGTTCCATCAATATAAAAGAACTTTTTCCTGCATTTTCTCCTGTTCGTTCTTGTTGCTACAGGTTGGAACCTATCAATTGGTATCAGAGCACACCAATCATCCACCACAGCCGTGACTCTTACTAATCGAGTTGCAGAGTTAGAACAAAAAGTGGAGAGCCATTACCATGACATACAGACGGGGATTGAAGCACTATGTTCGGAATTTCAATTGATGCACTCAGGGATGATGGACAAGTTCGAATTGCTGTTGCGAACTTGGAAAAATCAAGAAAAGGGGAGAAAGGAAAAGGGCCCTGCTATTGGAGAATCACTGGTGATCTCTACTGATTCTGGGTTAACTGAAATCCGACCAAGTCCTAACCAAAACAGTGGAGGAGGTTTATGGGCTGAAGGGAGGATAGAATCTCGAATCAGACGGCTAGAGATGCCGGTGTTCGAAGGGACTGATCCAGATGGTTGGATTTTTTGGGTGGAGCGATATTTCCTCATTAATAGGCTGGTTGAGGAAGAGAAAGTGAAAGTAGCTACTGTTTGTTTCAATGGCAAGGCACTAGCTTGGTACAAATGGGAAGAAAAACGGCGGCCAATGAGAAACTGGGAGGAGTTGAAAGTACAGTTGCTGCGACGGTTTCGGCCATCACAAGAAGGGTCTCTTTATGCCCAGTTTTTGTCCCTCAGGAAGAGCTCTATCGTTTGAAAATATTGCTGGCGGCTTGAAACCTTGGCTTCGCCATTAACAGAGGTCTCTGAGGAGATTTTGGAGTGCAATTTTTTGAATGGGTTAAACCCAACAATATGGGCTGAAGTTAACTTATTCTGACCCGTGGGCCTAGAGCAAATAATGGAAGTAGCCCAAATGATTGAAACTCGGAATCTAATAACCCAAAAGGGCCCATGGCAGGATGACCCAATTAAACCCAAAAGTATCCCCTTTCACAACCCAAATCCACCCCCCTTCACTCAACTCAAATCTAACCCAGCTTCCCAGCCCTGTTAACAAGCAATCAGTACCCTTAAACCTTATCCCGACTCGTCCAAACCACTACAAACAACTCACAGACGCAGAAATTCAGACAAAGAGAGAACAAGGCTTATGCTATCGTTGTGATAAGAAATATACAACTGCACACAAGTTTAAAAATAAGGAGTTGCAAGTTCTTGTAATTAGAGAGCTGGAAGAGGTGATGGACAGCAAAGTCATGACCAACGGTAGTGAGAGGGAGGAACTTGTTTCGGGCAAGCAAGAGCTGAACGGGTTAGGATGCTGGGCCAGCAACAATCAAGTATGCTTTCCACCTTGAGGACAAGGTGACTGAAATGGGAGGGGTATTGATAGAGCTCCAATCAATTACACCTATTCTAGAAGGTTCAAGAAGGCTATGGGCAGTAACAAATTATGTTGAGTAAAGATGACATGGCTAGAGTTAGTTACGAATAGGATTTATAAATAGAATAGAGGAATGGAGTCGGGGGATAGGAAAAAAAGATTGTGAGTGAAGTTATATTAGGAGAGTAAGGCCCTCTCGAATGGCCACCGTTCGTTTCTATTTTTGAGTTTTATACCCGTTCCATCAATATAAAAGAACTTTTTCCTGCATTTTCTCCTGTTCTTTCTTGTTGCAACAGGTTGGAACCTATCAGGTTGATCAGTCTTAATGTTTGACAGCGAATCTGGGACTTCTCAGAGCAGACAAAACAGTTATTCATGAAAAATAGATAGTTATTTAGGGAGTCAGGCCACTCAGATGAAGAGGTACTTAAATATGTTACTGTTGTTGAATGTTTATGTTTGCTATGATCAGAGGCTGTTGAGATATGTGCGGAAGTTTGCAAACCTGTGATAAACATAATGCTTACCTAGCCCATGTTTGGCCTCCATTCTTATCTCATTCTCATTCTTTTTTCTCTCTCTTATTTTCAACGACACAATCTTCCATAAAATAATATTACACACAAATAAAAAAAATTTCATTCTTTTTCGACCACACATTTTTCAAAAAAACACTATTCCATCCATTAAAATTAGCTAAGAATGGGGGCCAAACACCCGCCTAGTCTCTATGGGAAAACAGATGTGACATGAAGTTTATCTTATTTGATTAAAATAAATGTTTCATTTAAGTCAAGGGCAAAGTAGAATTTGTAACAAAAAATATTCACAATAGAAGGAAAATGCATTTGTTTTACAACTGTGAATTATGTGTATTACTGTCGTGCATTTGCAATAGAGCAGAAATGATGTCTGGGATGTATGTATCAAAAGCACATGTACTGGTAGGCATCTGTTAGCTGCTCAAAAATTATGCTTGCTAAGTACTAGCTATTTTCTATTTTTCTTAGTTACTGCATTTGTAGATGGATGTATCAGTTTCTAAAAATTGATTTGTTTTATTGCTTCATTTCTTCTCTTTTACTGAGTAATTTCATGCACGAGTACACTGCGTGTTATTGCCTATGCAATTGACCTGTGCTTTTCTGTATGTGATGTTGTATTATAATCAGCATTTGGACTTGTGCTTTTAGCATAAAGCGTTCATGGTTTTGGCCTGGGAATTCTGACTCTTGATGAACTTCTGGTTTCTGTCTTTCTGAAAATGAATTATCATTGATGTTCTGGTTTTTGTCTTGCTCAGTCTTCTAATTTTGGTTGGAATACTTTTAGGATGGATATCTATAATCAATATTCTCATTTTGATTATAAAACATCATCTGGGTCATGATGCCCTCGAACTTTTATGCTTTGGATTTGGATATATTTCCTTATCTTGTTTGATATCTAATTGCTCTCTATGTTCTTGTTTGGCATTTTTGTAAGTATATTGTTTTGGAGTTGCAAGTCTATGGGTTTCCCTTATTCTAAGGCTAGAGAAAAGGGAAAAGAGGATATGATGGTGGAACAGCCCAGGATTGATGTTCCCAAGCCAAATTTTGAGACCAGGGGGTAAGGATCATTGTTTTACTATCAAAAGAGAAAAAATAATAATAATAATAAATAAATAAAGCTAGTTTGTATTCTAGAAATGAGCACAATCCACCACTTGGTAGGGTCTTTTACTCTTAGGACAGCTATTAACGAGGGAAATGCTTTTCTTAATATGAAATTTAGCCTAAACTGTCTCCGGAGCCAATAAAGTACATAACCAGGCGCACGATAACATGAAGTTTGAAGTGGCACATAAGATATATAATTGTCTATCTTTATGCTTTAGTTTCTATTTAAGAAAGTTGGCTAAGTTTTTTCTTTTAGACTTTCATTAATCAGGTGTCACGTCACGCGTCCCCCTCTAAAAGTTTGTATTTTGTTTTTGTTTTTAGCATCAATAAAACTCTACCTTTATGGATATATACTTGGATGTACGATGAAGCGAAATACAAAGTTGGTACATGAGATACCGTACGATGAAGTCAAGTAGTTCCCTTCCCCTCCCTTAAACGTAAAGAATCCACGTTTGATTTTATTTACAAATTCTGAGTGTCCAATGTATTTATAAAGTTTAATTACTAGAACTTGCTAATGAAATGCTATTATTGGTAACATAATTGTAAGGAACTTTCTGTACTTATAAATAAATGTCAAATACTTGTGTGGTTGGATAATCTGCTACACTGGACATTGAACAAATCCTAAGTAATAACAAGCAAATAATCAGTGC